TTCATTCCTACCATTGTTAACAGTCTACAATTATTTTGAGTACTGTTTGTTCATATCCTCTGATTACTTATCTACTGGAGAATGGCTTTTTGGTTTTACAGACATATCTAATTGTTTCTATATCTTGGATACCAAACTCTCATCAGAGATATTTGATAAAAAGTGTTTTTTTCCCCATTTGACCACTTTCCTTCTTATCCTTGATGCATTAATTTTGTTTGTGCAGAAGCTTTTCAATTTCATGTAATCAAAGTTATCTATTTTATCTTTTGTAAATGCCTTGATCTCTTGTTTGGTTAAGAATATATCTTTTACTTACAGCTCTGACAGGCATATAATCTTCTTATTTTCTATTTTTATACTGTGATTTTTAATATTAAGGTCACATATCTATTTAGAATGTGGAATATAAGGTGTTGGCCTAAGCCTAATTTCTGCCAGACTACTTTCCAACTGAGTGGACTAAATTGGGAAATTCTATAGGCAAAGAGAAGGTTTTTGAGCACCAAGGGAATGTATAAAGATTATTTTGGCAGTGTTGTGCCTAATAGACCAGAGATCAGAGACAGAGCTGGAGGCAGGGAAAACAGTTAGAACAAGGGTGGGGAATCTGTGGCCTTCTAGGTCCTCAAGTGCGGCCCTTTGACTGAATCCAAACTTCACAGAACAAATCTCCTTAATAAAAGGATTTGCTCTGTAAAACTTGGACTCAGTCAGAAGGCCTTAACCAAGGACCTAGAAGGCCACAGGTTCCCTACTCCTAAAAAAAAAAGGAGAGAGAGAGAGAGAGAGAGAGAGAGAGAGAGAGAGAGAGAGAGAGAAGAGAGAGAGAGAGAGAGAGAGAGAGATGAAGAAAAGGAGAAAGGAGCACACAGTAAATAACCTTAATTTTCTCAGTAAAATAAGAAGTAATAACCTCAGCTGAGAGGGTTCAAGAAGAGGGCATATTTGGGAGACTTCAGGAGAGAAGGGAATTAGCTATTTTGCTTAATTTTTTCCCAGCCCTGTTCAACAATGAATATATAAGAACAGATATAGCAGATGTTGGGAGTAATCCAACAATTTGGAATTTGACCAGGGATGAGAAGAAATAGGATAAGAGGTGAAACAATTCAAGATAAGGGGACAGTGTGGAATGAATTGTTAAAATGTAAGGTGAAGATTAGGAAGGGAGGAAAGCGAGGTTAGTGCAGAGTCTTGAGAAAATACAAGTATGTATAAGGCTTGGAGATTTCTAACTAATTCTTTATCTCATGGCTATTCTGAACCTTCTCGTCACTCCTTCAGTTCCAAATATCTCTCCACTTTGGTCCATTCTGTATACTGCTGCCATTAGCAATTTTCTTTGGTTGCAGATAGGACTGTATGACTCCTCTATTCAACCAATTCTAGCAGTTTCTTGTTTCCTCTAGAATAAAATATAAACTACTTTGTTTAGTTTTTAAAGACCTGCACAACCTGGTCCCAACCTACTTTTCCAATCTCACTAGACATTACTCTCCCATCTGAAATGGAGATCCGGCTTTCTCTTTGTTCCCCACTCGTGATACTCAATCTCCTATCTCTGGGTCATTGCATTGGTCATCTCCCATGCCTGGAATGAACTCCCTCCACACTTCTGTCTCAGAGTCCCTCACTTCCTTTAAGATGCAGCTCAGATACCACCTTATGCATGAAGTCTTTTCTGATCTGCCAATCAGTGACTTCTCTCAGATTATACTTTATATTTAACTACTTGTTTGTATCTATCTATTTATCTCATACTTATACTGTATGTATTTTCAAATGCTTTTGTCCTCCTCATTAGAATGTAAGCTCATTTTGAGGAAGGACCATTTCTTTTTTGTATTTGTGATGCCAATGGTTGGCACACAGTAGATACTTAATACTCATTGATTTGACAGGGGTGAATGGATTTAGTAAGAATGAGGCACAGGGAACAGCGGAATGATAGGAGATTATCAGTGAATTTTAGAGATTTTCATCATGGAAGCAGAGCACGTGTGGGTAGTGTTGGGATTCAGGATGAAGCCATTTCCTATACATAGTGGAAGGCTACAGGTTTGGAGAAGATTGAGCAATCTGGTAGGAGTGTATAAGAGGGGATATTAGCATAAATGCTGAATGCTCCTGATACAGAGATAGGAGTTGAAGGAGAGAGGAAGACAGTGATTCAGGTGTGGAACTCCTTGGGAATAGAGGGAGAACGAACAGATGGCCAGTAGGCAACAGCCACCTTTGTATACCATGAGAGATTTTAACAGAATGAACTTCAAAAGAGAAGTTGCTGAGTAATGGTGGCAAAGGGAGATTCTGGAAGAGGCCACTGAGGTCAAGGAGTATCAAGGATATAGTGACATCTGGGAGAAGCCATCAGTGAGATGGAAGGAATAAAGGAACAGGAACAGAACTAAAGGAAGTTTGTTCCTACAGAATCTTAAATCCAGAAGAGACCCTAGAGGTTGCATTTTACAGATGAGAAGGCTGAGGCCTAAAGAGTTGAAGTGACTTGCCCAAGGTCATATGAGTGGTAAGTGACAAAGCCGGGAGTTCATTCATTAATTCAATAAATATATATAGATCTCTAGGTACTGTGGAAAGAGTACTGGATTTGGAAATACCAAACATCAAATCTAGGAAAGAAACCCATTTATCTAAGTCAATAACAGAAATCAGAGAAAGTGAAAGAAATTATTGTTTCTTTCTTATGTTAATAACCAATTATTAACTGAGATTAAGATTATCCCTCTTCTATTTCCTCATTCAGAAATCAGCTCCTTGTAGGTTATTCAGGTAACATCTGAAGGACATTGCTGATAGATGAGATTGCCCAAATCCTCCAGGTACATGCTTTTTGATCTCAGGTAGGACTCTACCCAACTAGGAGACCTTACAAACAGAATCCAGTTTAAAGGAGATCTTGGCCTTAGGAAATAAGGCCCTGTCCATCCTTGGGACCTTCCATTAGAATTTAGGATGACCTAGCAAATGAAAGGAAAAACCAGTGGGGTCTGGGTAGAGATAGATTCTTTTGCCCAGATTGTTGAGTTTCATGATTAGACCACAATCTCTGTAGGAGTTGCTGAAGACTTTTTGCTCTCTTCCTCATTAATATGTTTACCCCCTCACTAATTGTTAACCAATCAGAGTTGATTTCCACCCTTAGGTACATACTCTTTTCCAAAGGCTTCTTAAGCATTCAGAGGCCCCCAAGATTCTTCTTTGGTTTATAAAAGAAAGTGAAATGATGATTCTTTTATTAATTATTCATTAGCCATAGTTAATAAAATTATTATTAACCCTGAAACTAAATCTCTTCAACTTTTCATTCATCACAAAAGTAGATGTATATGGATATATACTATTGACTTGGATAAATGGATTTTTTACTATTTGTTATATGTTCATTGTAAAATTGGTATTTGGTGGGAAAGGGGTTCACCTTGCATAAAAAATTTGAGGCCTCCTTAAGGCCTCCCCCTTAAGAAATAGCAATCAAATGTTTAGCTTGAACCTAAAACTTATATATCCTAGAAAATAATATTTAAGGGATCAGACAGATATAATTTCACCCCAGTCCCCGCTCTCTCTGAGCAGACCAGAGTGCTTCCCCTGCTTCCTAATTCCTGCTTCCCCTCCTCGTACAAATTAAAGTCTCCCTTGGAGAAGGGGAAGAAATAATTAATAGAGATGTCTATTCTTGCCTCCTTGTGAGTCACATACACAACACACACAAACACCCTTGTTGTAGATACATGTCTGTCTGTCTATCTATCTATGTATGTATCAAAAGGCTGTTGACAGAAGATTAGAAGAATGGCTCTTTGGAACCATTAAAGCATAATATAAATATGAGCTATTATTTGGTAGGTATCCTGAGTGAATGGAAAAGCATGTTTTCTGTTGGAAAGCACTTGGTAAATCTTGGTAGATAATGAGTTATAGATGTTAATTCTCAATTATATCTGCCTTCATTGTTATGTATTACTTTGGAAGGCATTGATACTGTACGTCTTGAGGTCCAAGCCCTCTATTCTTTTGTTAAAAATTATTTTTATTTATTTTATTAAATGAAGTTGCCAATGACATGTAAATTTTTCTTTTCATTTTATAAAATTTTGAATTCCAAATTCCCTCTCTCTCTCCTGCCCTTACCCCATCCTTAAGAAGGCAATTTGATTTCAATTGTACATATGAGGTCATGCAAAACATATTTCCATATCAGCCATATTGCAAAAGAAAACACAAACAAAATGAAACAATACAAATAAAAAAAATTAAAAAGTATGCGTCAGTCTCTATTCAGAGCTCATCAAGTCTCTCTCTGAAGGCGGATAACATCTTTCATAATGGGCCTTTTGAAACTGTCTTGGAGCAATACCTTGATCAGAGTGGCTAAGTCTTTCACAGCTGATTATCCTTACACTATCACTGTTACTTGGTACCGTGTTCTCCTGGTTCTACTCACTTCACTTTACTTCAGTTCACATAAATCTTCCCAAGTTTCTCTGAAACCATCGGGCTTGCTATTTCTTACAGCATAATAATTTTCTGTCACAAGCATATATCACAACCTGTTTGACCATTCCCCAATTGATCGGCATCCCCTTGATTTTTAATTCTTTTCCACCACAAAAAGAGCTACTATCACTATTTTTGTACAAATGGGCTAATTTCCCTTTTCTGTGATCTCTTTGGGATACAAACCTAGTAGCGATATTGCCGAGTCAAAGGGTACGCAGTTTTATAGCTCTTTGGACATAGTTCCAAATTGTTCTCTAGAATGGTTGAACTAGTTCACCACTCCACTAAGAATGCATCAGTGTCCCATTTTTTCCCACATCCCCTCCACCATTTGTCATTTTCCTTTTCTGTCATGTTGGCCAATATGATAGGTATCTCAGTTGTTTTAATTTGCATTTTTCTAATCAATAGTGATTTAGAGCATAGCTTTGATTTATTCTTCTGAAAATTGCCTATTCATGTCCTTTGACCATTTATCAACTGGGGAATGGCTCTTATTTTTATATATTTGGCTCAGTTCCCTACATCTGAGAAATGAGACCTTCTCATGAGAGAAACATAATGTGAAAACTTTTCCCAAGTTTTCTATTTTCCTTCAAACCTTCTATTCTCAAGAATATCCACAATACAACCAGAAAAAGGACGGGGATCTTCTGTAAAAGAACCTGGGGTACACACACAAATTCAAAGTCATTTATGAATTCAGACAAGGGAGTTACCACTGTGTACTGGAGTAATTCAGAAAAATAAAAGCAGTGTGGCCAATAAATCAACAAGCATTTATACTGCAGGGAAAGGCAGTAGAATTGATCTGGGTTCAAATCCCAGTTCTGCTATTGACTAGTCTGACTTTAGGCAAAGCAAGTCACCCTTGAATAAATCAACCAATGAGCATTTATTAGTCATCTATTATGCGTCAGACACATGGGATATAAATACAAAGAATGAAACAATTCCTACTGGTAGGGTGGACTAGATGAAATCTACGGCTCTTTCTAGGCATGGATGCTATGAAAATTTCAGAGAACTGGAGGGGGAAGTATTGGTTGCCATATTTTAGAAAATATGTAGAAAAGCTTTAGCACACAAGGTTGGTGAAGGGACAGACCACATATTATTGTCATACACAAAGGTTGGTCAAGGAAATGGAGATATATACCCTAGGGAAGGGAGGATTTAAGCCTTAGAGGGAACATGAGGAGTGATGCCAACTATTTGAAGGGCTGTCAAGTAAAAGAAAGACTGAACTTGAATTTGTCCTACTTGGGAGTAAAGGTCAAAGGTGGAAGCAATGGTAATAATTGCAGAGAGGCAACATAAGGAAAAACTTTTATACAATTTGGACTGTCCCCAAGCGCAATGAGTTGCCTCCAGAACAAACGGGGTTTTAAACCAAGGGACTCAGAAGGAAAGGGGACCTTGACGTTCATCCAGTCCAATCTTCTCATTTTGCAGCTGGGGAAACAGGCCCGGGGAGGGAAGAGGATCGCCCGAACCAGAACTAGAGCCATCTGAGGTCCTTCCTCAATCTGAGATTTCACATGGAAGAGGTTGTAGTGAGGCTTCCACAAACGTCTTTGTTGCACTGACAACACACAGTGCTTCCCTTAGTGGCCGGTGTTGTGGTCTGAGAGGCTGAGACCCCCTCAAAGACCGGAGTACAGGATGGGGTCGTCTGAAACGAACTCACAGCCTGTAGCGTTCTTTAAGTCCCTGTCATGCCATACAGCGGGCAAGGGCTCTTCAGGCCCCCCGGGAGAGCCTGGGAGTGGCGCTGGGTTGATATGGGAAAGGACCGCCAGGGACGCTGATTCGGTCATCTAAAGGCCCAGGAGTCTTTGGGAGCTGCGCAGGGGAAAGCCAGGGAGACCATCACACACTGAGGGCGTGCCCGGACCTCGGGGAGCGGGCGGGAAGAAGAACGGGGCCAGCAGGGGCCAGGAGCTCCTGGCCAGGCCCTTCTGTCCCGATGAGAGAAGGTCTCTCGAAGGCCGGGGCCTACTAAGCTCGGGAGGCTCCAGAGCCGCGATGTGAGCGCTGGGCCCCCTCAGCCCGGCTCTGCGCAGCTGCACCAGGGAGGGAGATGAGGGTCGTGCTGCCCGGCGCAGTGTCCTCGGGCGGGGGGGCCACTGCGAGGGACAGTGTTTCCGAGGCTAGGGAGAAACTGCAGCATCCCATCGGCTGGCAAGCAGCAGGCGCTTAATCAAGGAGACTGAGGAAACCACAGAACACAGCTGGAAGGGACATTAGAGCTCCTGGAGTCCGACCCCCTCCTTTTAGAGAGGAGAAGACGGGAACCAGCTCTTACATCTCCTGACTCCTTAGCAGGGTTCTTTTCGTCACCTCCGGCTGACTCCATCTAGGCAAAGCTCTTCTCCATTCTGTACATGCGGAAAACTGAGGCTCAGAGAGGGAAGGTGACCCTGCCGAGGTGTCACAGTGAGTCAGTAGCGGGGCCAGTGGGATACGCTAACTTCCTTTCCTGGGCACTTTAATGCCCGTTTCTGCCACACTCAACATGGTGTTCTCGCCTTGTCCCCGCGACGCCACTCCTAACATGGCAGCCCAGGCTACCCCGCCCCGGAAGTGGTCCTGAGCAAGGCCGGAAAGGGAAGCGGAGCGGCGGTAGAGCCGGAAGTGTTTGCCGGGGTTCTCTCTCCCTCCCCCTTCCCTAGCCACAATAACAGACCGGAGGCCGCCGGGCAGGTGAGGCACCGGCGAAGCCTCGGGAGGCTCCGGGTACGGGCGGGGCGGGGCGGCTGCGCCCCTGCTGAGCCCGCTTCTCTTCTTGTATCTCCCTCACAGACGCAGCCGCAGCCTCGGAGCCGGAACATGGTCCTGCCGCGGGCCCAGCCCCGCGCAGCCTCCGCCGCAGCCTCGGCCTCCGGGCGCCCGGTAATGGGGGAGGGGGCCCGCTGTCACGGCCGCGAGACGCAGGGGAAATGGGGAGGGGGCGCGCCCGGGTGTCCCTGGGGCCGAGAGAGCAGGGAGCACGCCGGGGGCGGGGGTTCGGGAGACAGAAGGCAGCCTTGGGGACCCGGGTGGGAGAAGGGCACAGACGGGGAGGGGGGCAGCGGACAGTGGGACCCGGACCTCTGGACGGCGAAGAGGGGGGATGGGGAGTGGTGAGGGGCCCAGAGCAGAGAAGGACGCAGACTGGGGGCGGGGGCGCCCAGGGGTACACTGTGGCTGGAAAAGATAAGGAGGGCAGGAGGGGAGGGGAAGGACCGAGACCAAGCAGAGTGAAAGTGTGGTCCTCGTGAATCAGTGACTTAGGAAATCTTGGAGCAAAATCGTGGAAATGTGTTATACGTAAGATTTGTTTTTTAAATACGTCATTTCATATTTATGAGAAATATCACAACCTTTGAAGCTTTTGCCAAGAGCTCTCCCTTACCTTGCTTGGAACAGAGTTTGGGAAATGGAGGACTACATGGTCACAGAGGTTTCTTCTTCCATGGGCTTCTCTGTTAACTGTGAAAATTTTACTAGTTGGAATTTTAATCTTCCTTCAAGATTCAGTTCAAGTGCCATCTCCTGGTAATCTTCCATGAGTTTCCATTGTGAGACAGAAGCCTCATCTTTATCCCTTTAAATTCCTGTGGTAACTTGGATGTACCATTCTTCCACTCACTATATTTCACGTTGTTTTGTAGTTATTTTCTGTCTTTATCTCTCTTACTAGACTGTGAACTCCAAAAGGCAGGGACTATATCTTATGTATCTTTATCTTTACTACTATTGGTATACTTGGCCATTTACAGCTCCAAGCATGAGCTCCAAAAGCTTACAACTTCAAGGGACTTTAGTTATTCTTATCCATTTTAAAAACATAAGGCAGGCTCTCCTTATTTCATTTAAATTGTAAAGTTGTAGAGGGTGGGTGGGGTTGTGTTTGTGTGCGGTACAAAATGATTTCAGTGTCACTTATTTTGGACTCATTGACATTGTAATAAACTGGACAAAGCGATAAAAATCAAATAGCCAGTAGACAAGATGATTTAATTGGGTCTTTTTCTAAAAAGAGAATTTACTGAAGAGATCAGGGAACTAAATGGAGAATCATAGAATCATAAATGCCAACCCTTTATTAATTCTAATAGCAATCTCCCTAAAAAATGGTTGCTCATCTTACCTCTGTTTGAAAATCTCCAGAGGTCATGAACCCACGCCTCTCCAAGATAACTCATTCCACTTTTGTATTACTCTACTTGTTAGGAGGTTGAGCTCTAATTGAGCTCTAAGTCGCCTTCATGTAATTTCTACTCCCTGGTTCCTGTTTTGTTCTTTTTATACAGGTAATATTTTTCTAATCCCTTTTTCTGTTGAAGAACATTGGAAGTATATAGTAATAAGTTCAGTCCATTGGTGTGGGACAAGACAGAGATAGGTGTCAGGCATCTGGAATTTCCAAGCTCACTACTTCAACTATGTGTTTGGTTGCTTCTAAATTTTGAAATATTTGTACTAGTATAAGGCAGTCAAAACTGAGGAATTGTTGTCACGTGAAAGAGAGAGTATTGAATTGCGGAAGTTGAGAAGGGAAGATATTAAGGTAAGAATGTGCCTGTATCTGAATTGGGGAAATCAAAGAAATCTCAGGATGCAAAAGACATTAAGGAAGGAGGAAGTGTTCTCATCACAGAAGTTGAAGGTTTAACTGGTGTAGTGGAAAAGGGAGTACTTTTTAAGTCAGGGGACCTAGGCTTGAATTCCTAGCTCTGATACTGTAAGATGGGTAAGTCACTTGTCTTCTCTGGCACTGATGTTTCTCATTTGTGAAATAAAGAGGTTATACTAGTTAATCTCTTGTCTCTAAATCCTATTACCCTATGAGCTGTTTCCAGAATGAAAAAGAATTAGGAGAAATGCCAGACAGAACAACCTGCCATGGTTGTGAAAAAGTGCTTTGTAAGCTATAAAGAGCAATGTGAATATGAGCACTTATTATCATTATTATTAATTTGACAAGATAGGAGGATATGAGTCTGTGGTACGGGAGGCAGATAATCTGGACTGTTAATCATTAAACAGTATGGTTAATGTGGGCCTTGAAAGAATAGAATAAAAAAAAACTTGAAATAGCAGGGAAAGTTTTTTTTTTAAACTTAATAGGAGGATAACTCCAGTTTTCAAAGAAAGTAGGGGAAAAAATATGTTTTGGAAGAGTCGTATTTTATAATTAAGTGGGATGCAAGATGGTTTGCCATTAGAAGAGATTGTGTTCATTCCATTATCACAGAAGTAGTACCTAGAAGCCCAATTTTCTTGAACAACAAATTTTCCCCTTTTTGAAAATTGAGGCACCACTTGTCTATTTCTAGGCCTGTGGGATACCTTTTCATTCAGTTATGATTTCTTTCAGTACTTAGGGCTAGAATTTATTTAGGCCTAGTGACTTGAACATGTTGAAGAAAGCTAGATGCAAACTTAGCATCTCATTTGGGGTTTGACTCCCTTTCTTAAGGGCTTGAAAGACAGGAAGGAAGATTGAGAGGTCTTGCTGAGGGTGAAGAGAAAGGGCAAATTGGAAGAATGGGAGATTCTGATTAGAGAGCAGACTCAGGAGTTCAGGGCGAAGTTGTATGGATGAACAGCAATAGTCAGGATATTTGAAGCTAAAAAAACCTAGAAACTAAAAATATATGTATGAATTTTGATCTCTCCAAGAGTGATGGAGGTCTTCAGGAAGAGACACAAATTTTATGGAGGAGATTTGTTGTTAGTTATGGGTTCAAGTATCTGACCTACTTTCTCTTTCAATTCTTATTTTGTAATGGCAGAGTTTGTGGTAGAGAAGAGTATAATTTGAATCCTTAAGGAAGTTTAAAAATGGTATCTTTTGAGGGTTTGCAGTGACAAGTATCTGGACAAATTGTAATTCTGGTTTTATTCTCAACATAGTCTTTCTTTGAATATGGGTCACCTCCCTGAAATGATGTGTCTTTGCAGGGAAAAGCACACACACACACACACCCTGAAAAAAAATACACAATTAAGTTTTATAGGAGTCAGATTTGGGGAGAAAGTACTGACTGGATTTGGACTAAAAGAGTTTGTGCTTCTGATAGTAGCTCGAAGGGAACAACATGAGTAACATATGGGCAGATTGCTTTGTATTGATGATTCTCTGTTGGTGAAGCCATCTTTCCATTTTGGTTTATAGAAGTCTAATTATACCATGTGGTAGATTAGATATCATCTAGTCTAATTTCTATTTTAGCAGAGGAGGAAGCAGACCCAGATAAGGCAGTAGACTTTCCTCACATCATGCTGGTAAAGTAACAGGGTCAAAATTTGAATCCAGGTCTTCTGAATTCAAGTTGTACACTTTCTGCTGTGCTAGGCTCCTGCTGAGGTTACATAGTGAGGAAAACCTTAGACATAAAAAGGCAGTAGATGGTTTTTATACTTGGAGCAGTAGCTGGAGGGTAGATGGCTTCATTTATAGTCAGTTGGGGTTAGGGGGAAAAGAGAACACTAAAATGGCTCTGTCAAGACAAAGGATATTAATTAGGGTTAGTGATCACATTGAGAGAGGGGAGTGACCAAATGACTTGTGCCAGGACAGTACAATCTTTGTTTTACTACTATTGGAGGCATATTTCTCAAACTCAGTTATCTGCTTTCATAGAGTATAGCAGGAAATGGGATAAGGGATAAGGGCAAGGAACAAGGGGGAGAATGAAGGTGTTGCTAGAAGTAGGCATGCTACCAGCATTGATTAATGCCTACAAACAGCAAATGGAGGTTGCTGGCAGACCATAACAAATAAATGCACAAACTCAGGACACAACAGTATAGGGCTGTATATTTTAGGAACAAAGATACCTAAAAAACCCCTGAGAGAGATCTTTAATGTGTTGCACTATAGTAGACACTGTAGATTCTCTGTTGGAAGGGATCTCTAAGGTAATCTAATTGTACCTGTGTCTGAACTTGAGTCCCTTTTACAGTATTCCCTGAGAGGTGGCCATCTATCTACTTCTGTTTTACTTGAAGATATCTCATTTTAGGGAAACCGCTGCTTCCTGAGGTGGCATGTTTCACTTTTGGTCAGGCATATTTAATGAAGTGTTTCATCATTTCAAACTAAAATCTGCATCCCGGTAACTTGTACCCATTGCTTCTAATTCTAATCTGCTTTCTGTGGAAAGTAGCACAGCTACATATCTCCCCTCTAAGGCTCCTCAGTTCATTCAGCTGATTTCATATAGTGCCATTTCCAATTGCTGTAGCATCCTTGGCCCCTTCCTCTGAATGCATGTCAGTTTCTCAACATTACTCTTGAAATGTAATGCCCAGCACTGTGCAGATGACTACAGAAAGGGTCTGGGCAGGCAGGCTGTGTTAGGACTAGTACTTCCCTCCTTTTGGACCCTTGTTTAATGGTTCGATCATATCAGTGTGGGTTTTTCCTGCACCACATCAGGGTGGATACTTTCTGCACCAGAGCAGATCCCATCTTCCTTAGCATGGGTTGTTATTCTTTATGCCTTTTTACAAAGACTCTATTTTATGGATTCCAGGGGAGCATTCAGGCTATCTTTCTTTCTCTCTTTAAATGACCAGCTCCCCTTGTTTTCCTGTCATACCTGCCCTTGACATCATTTACAATACTTATTATCTGCAAGTCCTTGGTAATGTCACCTCTGTTGTATACACCTTTGGTCTTTCAGAGAAGCAGCAGGGTCAGGGTACTAGAAAGCTGCGCTAGGGGTCTGGGCCTGGGCCAGAATCTCCTGTCACTTAGTAATTGTGTGATCTGGGCTTGTTACCTCTCTGATCCTGTGTCTTCATCTAATAATAATTAGACTAATAATAGTTGTAGTCTCTACCTCATGTTTTTTGTGAGGCTTAAGTATGATAATATACTTTAAACACTCTATAAACAT